GGATAAAATCCACTATTTCTAAAGATAATTTGGCTATTATTCATAATAGTGCTAATAAAAGTGTTGGATTGAAAGTGTAATTGTGAAGATCATAGCATGTGATTCACATCATTTTCATATGCCTGGAACACACCACCTTCGCAAGGATAAAATGTTTCCTCACAGAGCACCATAACAACTTGATTAGTGCTGATTAGTGACCTTTCGCTTCCTGGAAGAAAGTGGACCTAAACATGCTAGCAAATTACCGAGCTTGCAGCTCCCATCACTAAAGAAATCAAGTATTCATTTGCTATGCTGTTGGGGTACGTTACAAATCCACGCACCCACTTGTCAAGAACAGGGTGAAGCTTGACTCATATATTATATACTCCATATCGCCAAAAGTATTAATTCATCCATCCAGATGTTCCAATCACTTGCTATCAGTCGCATTGAAATATTCCTCAATCGACTGTTAGTGTGTCCCTCAGATTAGCCTACAAACAGTGAGTAGAGATCTTCATGGAATGGGTTCCCATGGTCAAGCAGATGCATCCAAGCCTTACAACACCAAGCGCAATGCTACGTGTCGGATGCAGTGGTCACTCAACTCGAGAGAAGTGGAGACGAGTTCTTGGTAGTGACAAATCACGCACAAAGCCAAATCCAAAAAGACATGAATGAGCGAGTTTGGTGTGGAAGAACTTGACTGGTCTACACAGAGTCCTCACCTCAACTCAATAGAAGACCTGTGGGATGTGGGAAGACTAAGTCAGGCATCCTTGTCCAGCATCAGTCTCTGATCTCATAAAAGTCCTTCTGGAAGAATAGTAAAAAATTCCCATGAACAAATCCCTAACCCTTGTAGAAAGCCTCCCCAAAAGAAACTGAAATTAAAACTGTTAAGGGTTCACTGACATCCTCTTAGATCCTATGGATTAAGAATGGGATATCACTCAAATTCGTATCTGTGCACTTTTGGAAAAATACTCTATATAAGCTATTGTCATTATGTTGAAGTAAACGTTAACAAATGTTCTTGCTGACAGTATGCTCAACATGTCACTTTAATCACTATTCATGCTGAAATACAAGCCAGCTGAGCGGTGTTTGTGGCTGAAGCTCCTGCCATCTGCGCCACAACAATGTATCCTCTTCCAAAGTCACTAAAGAGCTTTTCCCCCTTGCCACAATTTAATTCCTGCCACAGAGCGTGATTTGATGTTAACTGTTTAATTGTACCGTGGCGTGCACCTGTGTGGCAGAACCTGCAATTATTGTTTCTTCACTCATTTATTCAGGACTTTCTTTTAATTTTCCTCCACCATCAGCAAGTTGTTTTAGCACTGTTGCTAAAGCTTGTTTTCAAGTACAATATGTGACATTACTTTAAATTAGCAAGGCGAACCTAATGCACCCACAGAAACATTTCCCCAGTTAGACACAGTATTAATGAAGTTCATCTGTAACTGTGTTTTGGGCTCAAAGAAAAGTACTTACACCTGTCTTTCGTGCATCTTTCCACAATTCAGTCTGTGCTCATTAGATTTATTGTCGCAACCAGAGACCAAATGCAAGCAGCAGACTTAAAATGTGATGGGTAGGTGGCAGTCAGGTCAGGTCGACATGGGATTGAGGAAAATTTGCACAGTCATTAGCAACACATCTGGAAAAACACATTTGCCAGACAACAGTCACTGCCTCCATCAAAATAGTTAAGAAAAATAAATGCTACAGCTCCTCCAGTGAGACGGTAATGTCCCCACGACTCATCACTTCTTTATCATGGTTATTACACCACAGGGATCTTCACTGACCCACTTACATCTCATCGTTCAAACTTTAAGCCCAGTAACGTTTATTATGAGATTGCTTTTTTCTTTTTCCTTTTCTTTTTTGAGACATTTAAAGACTTCCATGTTAGTGGTCCAGTTAAATTACTTGACATGTACAACAGGATCAAAAGCCCTAATGCATCTTACGCGGCCCCGGTGTGTTATGCAAATAGAAGTGTTTTAATGAAGGCATCATGAATAATTCAGGAGTGGTGTTCCACAACAAATACACCACAGGAGCAAATTCTCAGGAAAGAAAAAAAAAAAGGATTGCTTTGGAAAAATAAAAAGTGAAGTATCTCTGGCTTTCGCTTCATATCCACAACTGCTCATCACTTTCTTATTAACAAATGTCAGCAAATGGAAATAACTCATTTAACTGCTTTGTAAAGTGCAACAGATGCACTCGCTGCATCCACTCAATTTTTCTCTCGCTGCCACCTGCCTTTTTTAGCATTAATTTTAAAAAAATGAATGTAAGGGCAAGGCTTCAGACTCAATTTGTCTTTTCGCAGTGTTGCTTGTATAATACCAGAGTGTGATTACTGCCTGCAAAGCAAAGAAAAGAGGGACGCTCTCCAAGCGAACTGAATGATTATTAACAAGCTGCTGGCGTCCTAAACATAACACCAAAAACATCAACATTCAAACAAGAACAAATTTTTAAAAAGACACGTTTGTTTTACCTGTGCTAGTTAACGGCTTGGCTTAGCTGGACAACACATGCTTCAACCATGTGACGTGGCTGTGTCACATGGTTCCAGCAGGCTATTGTGTACGGATTGTCTTTGATGCCAAGTTGTTGCCTTGACAGCCCTGAGCTAAGCAAGAAAGGTGAGAATTATTCTCCACCCACACAGCACTTAGAAGTCTCTTATCTAATACTCCAGCAGTAATCAAGACGAAATCCTTCTCTGGATCAAACTCAGGACATGTCGACCTAAAATGACCGGGACCGCGTTCTTTAATTTCAAATTCCGCTTCGTCATGCTTCGTTGTTTTTTTTAATGTGTTTTCATTATCTAAACGACAGCCAGCGTGAGCATCATTTTCTGCATCTCCACCCACTGCCACTTCGCTGTCGCTCACAGTGATGCGGACGCACCGCAAATGAATATCTCAATGTCCACTATGACCTGTGCAGATGTCTCCGCCAAAGCGCCCCCCTGGTCAGTGACATAGCCAGGCTGACTTTGTAATCATATTACTAATGCATGTCTCATTAGTTTGTGCCAAAGCTGAGTGTCTCTGCTTCCTCCTGCTCTTCTCACACTCTCTCTCTCTCTCTCTCTCTCTCTCTCTCTCTCACACACACACACACACACACACACACACACACACACAAAACCACACACAACCATCTAGTCAATTGCTGGCTGGCATTTGAGAGTGTCTGGGCTTGCATCTAAAGCAGTTTACTGGGGAAATAATAGCCCTCTAAATGGATTCTCTGTATGCAGAATCATCCCATTCTATTTGAATTCTGGTGAGACAAATTAAATTTTGCCAGGTGAGTCTTGCACCATGTTGAGACGACAAAAGAATGAGAGGCAGGGGAGGAAAAGCTAAATTAGACGAGAGTTCTGGGTGTGACTGTGACAGATCTTGTTTGAGATATCGATGCATTTAGATTTGATTTATTTTCGTTCTTTCAAAAGTGAAATCAATAGAAGGTATGCGTTAGGAAACTTAATGAAAGACTGAGAGAGAGACAGACAAAATGCATCTTCAACTATTCCCATTAGTTTCTTGAAAGCGTGTCGAAACAATGACTTGCTCCACAGCTGTTCTTTTTGTCTCCTGTTAGTTTGCATTGGATTTTGGTAAAACAGTAAGCATCCCACATCCTCCTTAAAAAAAATTCCGACCTGGGGAAGGCCATTACAGAAAATATTACACTGTCATTTGTCATTAGCTGTCTATCTTAGCTACTTTTCTCCCCCTGCACTGTTGCTGAAAGATGCTTGAGTGAAAGTAATGTTGCCAAGGAACCTTCAACGCTCGCCCACCTTTCTTTACTTTTAACCATTTTCTCAAGCAAACCTCTCACAGATTGAACATGCAAACTTTTATGTGTTGCTTTAAATAGGTCCAACTGGATCTAATGCTGAGTTAACTCCTGATATTGATCCCATGGAAAAAGCTTTAAGTGCATTCCTTCAAAACAAAAAAGATCTTCCTTAAGAGCATCTTCAGAAACAACTGTCACTACTGCCCTTTCCGTGAACCACACAGCGTTCAATATTGATGAGATCATTCTTTTTCACTTGGTTTTTGTAGCATAACTGCAATATGTGGCACCCCGAGAAAACTACTTGTTTTCGCACAGCATCCTGTCCTTGCAGCGTCAGTCGGTTTAAAGTTGGTACCATGCCGAGGCAAACACGCAGCATGCATGAGCATACTATCAATTTCCTCCCACCAGGCAGTTTCCAAGGCACTTGGCCTAAATATCAACTCCAGTCAAATCGACTGAAAGGGAGTGATCTGCTTCGGGCTGTGATCTATAAGTTTGTGTGTGAGTGTGCTGCACTCTCCAGTGATAACAACAGCAAAATGCTTTACAACAAGTACTGGCAGTCCTTTGAACGAGGATTTGAATGATACTAACGGCCTGACCTGTAATCGTTCCAAAACATAGCTAATATAACTTTATTTGCAAGGGTCACTTCTAGGTCCTCAAAATAGATTTAGTAAAGCCCAAAAAAAGGAAAAAAAAGCTGGCTGTGTGACACTCGGAAGAGCTTTGACTAGAATAATCTTCTGTTGTTGTTTAGAGGCTTTAACGTTTCACTGAGAAAGCAATTTTAAAACGGATGAGGGCGTAATCCCTGACAATACTGGGATTATCTCTTTAAATGACCTTTATCTTGCCATGAGCATAGAGTGCTTTTCAACTCCACTATCCCAAGTCTGGTTTGATTACAACATGAATGCCTCTTTAAAATCACAAGGCTGTGGACAGCCTATATAGCTGCATGGAACCTGTGCATTCAAAAGGAAAGATAAGGGCATCAGGTGTATTTCAGAGATATGTAACAAGCCAAGTGGAACGCTGCTCCAAAATAATAATAATAGAAAAGTTTACTAAATGCTCAGATTGTGACTTACAAAAATGTGTAACTACTACACATCTCGCTGTCTTGTGAATTTTAAACTCACATTTGAAGCTGTTGGTTTTTGTTTTAGTTACTTATTTTTTGATTTTGAAACAAACAGATATGGTAAATACGGAAGAAAGCTGTTGGCTGTTTTTTTTTTTGGTTTTTTTTGAACAGCTCAAAAATAACAGAGTGAAGCAGAGGGGTAGCTGGGCTGAGTGATTTAAAAAGGCTCCCACCAAATGACAGATTAGTCGATCATCTCCCGTCTTCGTTAGTTGGAATTTCTGCCTCATCAAAGGTGCAACATTTTCCCCTCAGAACTTGAAGGGAAGTGCAAGTATCGCTTTGGTTCAGATAATTGGAGCCTTGGGACCTGGTACAGTAATGGGAGAGAGATTGACTAAAAAGTTGACTATATTTCACAACTAAACTTTCTACCACATCACCTCTTGTGTTGTTTTTAAGTCTAACGCTCTCTTTATTATCCACTGTTCTTTTCTCATGTTCTTTAGTACGTGTGCAAATGTTTGTCTTTAATATATTTGAAATAGTTGCAGTTCTATAAGTATAGGTATGTAAGTGATATGCTTTCCACAAGGATCTCCTTTAGTTTTCAAATGGTCTTTGTACCTTAAGAGGGTTCAAAGGTTAATCTTGCACCTAAAAACGAGCATCTAACCAAAGAAACCTTTAGCACTGCTGTATCCCAGTTTTCTTAGTTCTGCTTATCGAATAGGTCAAATTTCAACTTTGAGTTATATTCCTAATGAATATTTTAGCAACATGCATTATGCATGTGGCGATTTGCAGCACGTACTGCAGAGATAACGGGAAAAATATTGTGGGGATTTAGAGTGTGTTTGACCTTTCATAAAGTCGAGCTTAATTCAGCCGTGAGTGTATCATTTTTCAGTGTTGCTTTGTGAACGAAATTTCACAAAGAATGGGTTTCCATGATGTATTTCCATCCCTCGTCCAATGAGAGGACATCTCTCTTCAACTTCAACGGGATTTTTTCTAAGTTGCCAAAAATGAACTGATGCTGATGAGTCATTGCACCAAGTGGAAAAAGAAGAGAATGTACCTGACATTAAGAATTTGACAGGAAAAAAAAAGTCTTGCTTCCCGGTAATTCTTCGAGGATGTAGAGTGATTCATCCTGTTATATCCTGGATATTTAAGGCACATAACTGAAAAAGTCCCAAAAAATTACAAATAGGTTTATGACAAATTGTTGTACTTGTGAGTGCTGAGGGCTTGGGGTGAAACCTTTTTTTTTTTTTTTCATGATTGCACTCCACTGCAAATGCAAGAAGATAACTCATCTGTCTTTCTAAAAACTAATAAATGCTGCTGAAACATTTGTCTGTTTGATATATAAAAGCAAGAAAGCACACGTTTGATATATTGACACAAAAAGAACATCAACATTTTGATTATAAAAAAAATTACAAATGATCAACTTTGACATTTGCATATTAACAACCAAACTGTACAGTAAAAGAACAGTATTGTAATCATAAGAGTGATTCTGTCTTCAATAAATATGACACCCTGCGTTGAACTATACGGCATGAATATGTAAACATGCTGCAAACACATAAGCATATCTACTGTATGTGTTAGTTTCATCTGCTGTGTAAAAAAATGTTTTGACGTTTAAATGCACACTTACTCTGTGGAAAGTGATTTATCTTATGCCTTTGTTACAGTAAAAAACAAAAAAATTAACAATGTAGATGTAAAACTGTGGCTGAAAGGTTAAAAACACTTCATCATTAATAAAATTATCAAACTTTAAAATCTTACATTAATCACTTTTCATACAGGATGTACAAAAACACACTTTCCCCCCTTTTTTCTTACCATTAAAGGCTGTGGGCAAAACTTCTACCCGCTTTTTTTTTTGCTTGAGTCAGTTCCCTTATTTGGCTGTTTGAGCTTTACTGAATGTTGGGAATCTGAATGAAAAAGTATCCTGAAAGGATCTCAAGTAGAAGTCAGTTCAGTTGGAGCTCGGCTTTTATACGTTCACAAGACTGGGTCCTTTGGGCTCGCTAACAGAGCCTCTATGCCTGTGTCCAGAGTACTCCCCAATAAATGAGCCGTCCTCATTGAACTCTCTTCCACCGTCTGCATAGTCGCCCAGGGTGTATCTGCTGACACTGTCCCCAGTTGCATCATCTCCTTTCAGGGAACACAGGCTACCGCCCTTCAGTGGCTTTTCATCGCTGTCGCTGTCATTAAGAAGAACAGAGAAGGATGGCTGAGGTCAGCGGTGCAGTGGGTAAAATAAACTCGTGGTATAGCACATCAAACAGTTTTGAGCGCAAAACATGTCGCCTTAAGAGGCCGTCTTTGACACGAGCACACTGCACACTATGTATTTCACACGAAATTAAAAGCTACACACACAAACACCAGCAAACAGAGAATAATCAGCACATATAGCCTGCCAAATACTTGCTAAGAGAAACACGGGCTCATGAAGCAAGTTCTTATGGTTTCAATACATCACTAGAGGCAGTAGGCAGGGGTGGATCCAGCGGCTGCACAGCAGGAAAGGGAGCACAAGGGAGGCAGGAACGGGTTGGTACAATCACTTCACTAATTGCTAATTGCCAGGGCTTCAGGACCGAAGGCAATTTCAAATCTCTTTAGAGCCAGCAATGGAAATTGCCAGAGAGCAGTGAGAAAGAAGCCGAGAGGGAGGTGTGTGTATGTGTGTGTGTGTTTGTGTATTGGGGTGGAGGGCGGAGTGGAGGGTAAAGGCTGAGAAAGGGAGAAGGAAGAGAGGAGTGGAGGTGGGGCATATGCAATCCCAGACAAACAGCCTGTCATTCGTAGTATTCCCATGGGCCCACACTCCGGCTGAGGAGATTAGATGCCAATTTAAGGCTGGGCGACTGGCCAACTTGCAGGTGTCTTGCTACAAGACGTGGGGGTCACCTCAAAGCACTGAGGATATTTTTCCTCCCTGTCTTTCTTTTCAAATTCCCTAAACGATCAGTGTTTGGCAACACCTCTATCCCTCTCTCGCACGCGCGCCCGCTCTCTCTCTCTTTGTATTCATAACGCAGAGCGTCTGCGTTGCTCAGGTGGCACATGCATGATAGCGCCATTTGAGGCATATTGCAGTTGACACCTGTGTCAAACAAAAGCTCAACATTTTGAGCAGGATTTTAGCACAGAGACCCGGTTCAAGCTGAGATTTTAAAATGGCTCTCCTTCGCAGGGATTTTTTAATAACCAATCTTATCTGCCCGTTTTCATGAGGCCGTTTACAATGCAAGCCACATAAGGTCCACATTTCAGCTCTTATCAAACCTTCTTTCTCTGACGACTCTAGAGTGCTGCAGATAAGTGGCTGTTATCTAAGAGCAGTGGAATGCCACCGCCGCTGCAGCCCGCCCACAGTGACTTTGAATGCCATGATAAAATGGGGCTGAGTGCTTTTGAGCCCCTCACTCAAAAGCTACAGGTGGAAAAGGGAGAGGGGGGGCAGAAGGTAATTAAATTTGTCTTCCTGTTGACCTATGTTGACTTGGTTTTTTGGGGTTGGGTAGAGTGGGGGCAGCAAAACTTCAGGTGCAAGGTGTATTTTTCCCGATCGTGAAGCTGAAGTTGTTTGTATTCTAGTTTCAAGGTGTCTGGAGAAATAACTTCCCTGCATCTGCTGCCTTCTCCCAAATTGCACATAAAAATATGAGCAGTATGAGAACATGAGAGCTTTCACCAGGCTAGGAAGGGGAAAAAAAGAAAAAGAAACACATAAACCGGCTGAGGAAAAAATTGCATCACACGCTTGGCTAACGGCCTGCTCCAGCCATGACACCTGCTGTTCTTGCAGTGGACAGAGGGGCAAAGCAATAGAGGGCTGTCTACAAAGAGAAATCATCTGAAGCATAATTACCACTTGTCAGCTCCCCAGACACGTGGCATACCGGTGGGTGGTCTATTGCCTTTAGAGATTCAAAGGGCACTACAGAGCCCTGAATCCAGCTCTAAAGCCAGGAAAACAACATCATAGTAAGGCTAAGGGCACTCTGGGGGACAGTAGTCAGAACAGACTCATGAAACTAACCATGAGAAGCATTCTAAACAGATAGTTGCAGCAAAGCATCTGCACTGGCTCACAAACAAACACCAGGGTTTCTCCTGCCCTGCGAGCTCCGAAATAAAGTTTGTCAGAAAGAAATTCAATATCACAGCATTCTCCGTTTTTTGCCAGTTCTTCACATGTGGAAAAAAAGAAAAAAAAAAAAACTTGGGCACATTCTTGAGACTTTCTCTACCATTTCATCAACCTTGCAGAAAATAGTACTTTACCAAAAGGATGCCTGGAAGTCTTGCAGCACCTATGCAGAATCGTAGCCACCACTTCATTTTTTCTTTTTTTTTAAAGCATGCAGCCCTAAATGAATACATGTAACCTATATTGAGCCAATTAATGCATAATACAGTCGCAAAACTACTAGAAATGAGTCACTCAGAGGGTGTGGACACAGTTATTTCTTGCTTGCCCTCACTGTGTGAGCGTTTCTCTTTCAGAATACAAAATCTTCAGAGTACAGAATCACACAAATGTGATTTATTAAAGTTTGTGGCTAGCAGTTTACTGCACGTTGCACCATTTCTTATCTGGCAGCTGATTTGGCTGCGATAGTTGCTGCTAAGAGTGTTAATTTATTTGGAAAGTCAGGGGGAGAAGTTATGAGAATGAGCATATAAATAGGACTGGTGGATGGCCCAAAGCTGTGAGTGCTGTGCCAAAGCTTTGGCTCTGTCCTCTACCACTTCACCGTGATTATTTGGAGCTGTGCCCCAACATATTTGTGGTCGTCAGTAATACTGCTACTTTGATTCAACAGAGCAGAACTTCATGTGGAGCATCAGGAGGAGAACAGCTGTCCAGGAAAAAAAAAAAAAGAAATTTAATTAAATTTTAAAAACGCATATGTGCCAGGTACCTTTACAACTGTTTATACTGACCCTGTAATAGAGGTGACGTGTCCACTGCATACCTTGTCTCTTGCCCTATGATGGCCAAGAAAGGCCCCAGTCTCCCATGAACTGGATAGCAGTTGAACCAGGGATGTTAAACATAACATCCGGTGGGCCAGAGTCGGCCCACCGAAGTCTCCAATCCAGCACGTTAAAGAGCTTTAGAAAATGTGAAGGAGTGCATAGATTTAGCACTTTTAAGTATATTTTTTACAGTTTTAAGTTTTACAGTGTTTCCTGACAAAGACTGCTCCCTTACACCAAACACTAACAGATAAACAATGAAATAACAGGGACGTTCTTGTTTTCCTACTATTACAGTAAAATGAATTTTTACTCGTTTTTATAATGAATTTTCTGTGAATTAATGAAAACTTTATATTTTATAATTTTTATAATTACAGGCCAGCTGTGGAAATGGAGTAACATAGTTTTCTGTAAATTCACACATTTATCACAAGTGGGTGCATATGTGGCGCACGTTGTAGATTGAGTTTGACAGCACTGGGTTAAAAATAAATAAATGGATGGATAGTATCAAAAATGTCTCTAGATGCTCAGACCTGGAGCATGTTAGAATATGTCCTTGTAATTTTAACTGTAATCTTACAGAAAGTGATTGTTCCCACAGCTGGCTGAGAGTAAGATTCCTTGATTTGACTTAATAAATAGCTGCAGCTTCACACGGCATGCACGAAAAAACAAAAAACAAAACAGGGATGCCTACTCTGGATAAACACTCCGACTGAGCGATTGGGTTTACCAAGAGAACAGCTGCCACAGCCTCTGAGACCCCACAGGCGTTTCCCCTTGCTCCAGAACGAACAGCTTTCTCAGGAAACGCATGGATGGCATTTTTTCTTAGTCAATTTCTTGCTCTATCATCAGGTCCGCTCATTTTTGACCTGCTAATTTACACGTCTCTTGCTAATTTGTTTTCATTACTGAAATGAACCGACTGCATCTGTTCATTTAGTAGATTTCCTGCAACACTTTTCACTCCCATTGGCACTTTTTATCACAATTGCGACATCAAGCAAATCTGAGCCACAAAGTAACTGTGGTCCGTAATACAAAAACAGGGTCATGGACACTGGACAATCCATTCTTTCCTGTTTAACAGAATTACAGTCTTGGCAAGAAGCACAGGAACGCAATTGGCAGCAACCACACAATTGTGAGTAATCATGTTCTGAATAATACGATGACGAGAAGAATCAAAGCAGGCAGAAGAGGCTATTTTAGGTGCTTTCTGCACAAACAAACACACCATTGTCACACAGTTGCCGCAATGCTGTCAAGCAAAATAGGATTCGCTCGATTCCCCAAAATTATCACCGTAGCAGCTAAACAATGCAAACAATGGAAATTCAACAGCTATTATAAAGTACAACAGCTGCCTGCCTCGGGCTCAAAGGCCTGGTTTTTCACCGTATATTTTCCATCAGCAATTATCGTGTATCCAGAATCTGTGCGTGTGCAGTAGGAGCTTCCTCTTTTTTAAAACTACTTAAAATTATTTAAGTAAATCTGCATCTATTAAGTTCCCAAGTAAGCTGAGGCACTACAGACAGGAACTAGTTATGTTTCAATAACCTTTATTATCCCTAAAGTCATCTTTCCATGTTAAAGTTTGCTAAACTATTTTATATATACATATGAGCAAGCACTTGGCAACAGTGGGAAGGAAGAACTCCCTTTAAACAGGAAGAACTATTAGTGGGTCTAAGACTTAAAGCTAAACTGAAATTAAAACTTCCTTTTGTAAAAACAAGAAGCATGAAAGAGAACAAGACTTGCAAACTAAACGAGCTTCCTGTTTCTAACTGGAATCCAGTCTTAACAGTATGGCGTGTCTTTCACTATGTGGCCGACTGCAAATGTCTAACTTTTTACGCAACACAACTGTGTTTGAAAGGAGAAGTTTGTCAGTAACACAGGCTCATGTCAGCAGTGTGAGACTGCAGTGAAATCACAGTTTAATTGTTGTCTAGATTTACCAAAAAAAACAGTTTACATAGCTGGTATCAGAGCTGTTGTCTGAAAAAGATCTTTTAAAGACTGATCATGTCTATAAATCTTTTCTCTGTTGGATTTTGAAGCCGTGCAAATGCCAAGTAAACAAATGCATTTCGAGGTTTGTTGATGCCTCCAGCCTGCCCCAGCTGCAGTCAAGGGTGTTTGTTAACTTTTTACCTGAGAATTTTCATAAGGGAGGGCAAAAACTATGGACATTAGAAGTCTATGGAATAATTGTAATATTTAGACCTTTTGACTAAAAATTGCAGCATTTATCTCAAAGAAATATACGCAGTAAGTTGCGTTACATAGAATGACAGCAAGTTAAAAAAAAAAACACCAATAAAACACTCAAACGCACACACAAAAGGAGGCAAGCAGTGCACAAATATCCCCCCCCCCCCCCAAAATATTAATGTCTATATAAAAGCATACACAGACTAGCACACAAATGGCCTACTGATGCCTAAAGCAACTACGTGACATAAGCACTTTGCAGAACAGACACATGCACGTCATCAGGAGTAAAAGAACATAATTCCAACTAAAAGGGAACAAAGCTTGTGCTGTGTGTTAACCACTACTTTTAACTACACCGTGTGATTACCTAGCCCATTAAATGACGAGAACACTGGCTTCTAGGTTCATCCTGGTAAAGCTCATGAATGCGTGGTTTGCTTTTAGGTTGGGAGGGAAAGACATCACAGTGATACATGACAAAAAAATTATTTTTCAGCCAGAAAACATTTAACATATGCACAACATATTAATTACAGCATAGTGATTTTTGAGATAATAAAAAATAGATATTTCTCATCAATCTTTGGTACTGCAGCGTGCAGAAAAGGGGTATAGCTCACCTGTAGTCACAGAAGGTGTCATCATTCATTTTCTGTGACTCCGTGTCAGAGTGGGGCTCTTCCTTTTCTTTCACTGCAGAGAGGGCAAGACAGGCACTTCAGCACCATTGTTAGTGCAGCACTTTCACACAAAGATGCAATCACATTTTACTCGTGTGTGCATCCATAAGTCTCCAGATTCAGATTTATTTTAGAAGATCTTGTCTTTACCATCCTACAAAGGGAAAATAACTCAAGCAGCAGTATTTCTGGAAACTGCAGAAATGTCAAAACTGAACATATCTAAGCTTAAAAGATCCACTTAGCGATACGCAATCTCAACACTGTAAGATTAGAAATTGAGAAGTCACGACCAAAAGCATCTGAGAACAGCTAAATCTGTGTAAACATTACATTAAGTCTTTACATGGAAACCCTCTCTTCTGCGTGTCTAGCACAAAGTGCTAGATGTCAGCTCTTTGTGCAAACAACACTTTGAAAAGACCAGTTGCGTTTGAGAAAGCTAAAAGAGGGGTTCCTTGAAAAGAACTGGATGGGCAAAAGGGGGGAATCCAAAGGAGCTGATGAAAAATTCAGTGCTTTTTGTCTACAGCTACAGCAGGCAAAGAAGTGGAGTAGGCAGAAGATGGGGAAGCATAAAGGTTCAGAGGAAAGAAACAGAGTGAACAGACACTTTGCAGGCAGGCCCATTGTGAGACTGAATTTGACTCTGATACATGGCAGCACAATAGTGAGATGGAAGAGCTCGGAAGGTCTCCTCAGGTGAGCAGTGGAGAGGAGTGCAACAAAGGCAGCTGATTCCCGCTTGTCTGTCTTGACAAGTATGAAATCAGCGGTACTAAGACAACTAGCACGGCCGCACCAATTGTTTGCAGCTTGTAGCTGCCGTGCAAAGGTGACCCACATGCATAAACAGGTTTGAGCTCAGGGTTGAGGCCCAAGTTATAAAAAAAGCATCATCCTGATAAATTGGTAGTAGTTTTAGGATTTCAATTTTAGCTCAAAATGACTTGGGGGACTCAACCCTGGCTAAGGACTAACTGACCTTTTTCCATGGCGAGATTTTCTTGTCGCTGTGGCGATGGCGTACCTGCATACTTGCCACCTTTGTTTTTCCGCAGAAAGCAGGCAATGACCACAACAAGGGTGAGCAGTGCCACAGCGCACATGGTCCCAATCATCCAACCGTGGGTTGAAAAGCTGCTCTCCTGACTTGCAGCACCTGAAAACAAGTGAAAGAGAGCTCAAGAACCAGCTTTACACACCGGCTCTATTAGGTGGGCCCAACCACTCAAGCACTCTTAAACAACTTGATCTTTGATTGAAAAAAAAAAATGTGATGAGCTCAGGTTTGATGTCACACTGACTCTTTACTCAGATGTTAGACAGGAAGAAGACAAAAGCAAATGTGCATGGATTCATAAGAAAGAAATGAATAAATTCACACGTTCAGCACAGTCAGTCACTCACTCAGTCAGTTTGATAATGATATGCTGGTGTTGTTATCACTAAAATCTACTGACGCTGACAGTCTTTGCTTCTCTCACCTTTGGTGCGTGTCTCGATAACGTCTTCGAAAATACTAGCGTTATCGAGCAGCCTCTTAGCCATGAGGCGCACAGTGTACACCGTCCCCGGTTCGAGCCCGTCAATTATGTGGAAACTTTGAGAAGCGTTTACAGCCTCTGAAATCCGCCAGTTCCCATCACCTACACAGCCAAGCACAGGAAGTGCACAAGCAGCAAGTCTGTATTAGCAGAAGAGGATGTGCTGTTGGCGACTAATAAATGGTTCTCCAGTATTATGGTTACACTAAATATAACTTAAACACATCTGAATCCATTTTTAAAGGGAAGGGATTGAAGCAACCACGGAGGCTTACGCTATATTTTTAGGTGTTAATATAAAACATCCCTAGGTGTACCTGAACATGATACAACCTTAAATTCCTATCAATTTTTAGCAAGGCGGGGACAGGAAAAGTAGCTTACGGTTATTCATATAAGCCACATAAAGCTGCAAGCTCCGCTGCTCTTCTCTGGCAGTCCAGCTGATTTTGGCAAAGGTGTCACTCACGTAAGAGCTTATGTTCAACAGGGCTGGAACTGATAAAGAAAGAAGAAATAGGGGGAAGTAAATAAGGAGGAAAGGAAAACACAGACAGGCAGAGAGAAAAGGAGAGAGAAGGCAGGAAAAGAGGATTAGCAGAGGCAAATAGGATCCCCTGCAGCTTGAGAACAATCCGTCTAGCAGAAACCCTTCAAAAAGACAGTTCAAAAGGCATTTCCCGGCCCCAGACTTAATTGAGTGGAGTTGGATTTGGGCTCATAAAGGGTAGATATATAGATCGTGGGCGGGAGTGACATCTAGTTTTCCCTCTACGTTAAATAAAGCTGGCATTTCGTGGCGCACCCCCCACCACCACGAGTAGATATCAGAGCAGATTGAAACAACTCCATGCCTCGAATACTGTTGTTACTTGAAAGTTCAAGTACATCAAGACGAGCTCACAGGCTTAATATTGGCTGTGCATGTGTGAGTGTGAGCTATATACCTAAAGGAGGATGAGTAGAATTGCCTGAGATAGAGCTGGGAACAGAGAGAGAGCAGTTGTAGCCTGGAATGAAAGAGAAACCTCAGATGTTAGATTCCTTCTACAAAAGCTGTCAAGTCTAATATATTGTGCAACAAGCGAGACTACATAAAGGCGGAATTTGTTAGAGCGACTGGGAAAACTGCATTAATGGCAGTAACTGCACAAGCACAGCGCAACTTATACCGCGGTAGACACCCTGTAACTGCAGCACAACAATAAATCTGACTTGCAAATTTAAACCACAACTGTCACTTTCCGGCAAGTGATTTGCACAAAGAAATGTCTTTCTGTCTCTCCCGAAGTGGTATACAGGACTCACCCAAATTATATTTGTACAACTATAAAGGACATGTTTTTGCTGAGGCTATGGAAAGCTACTTGCTACACCAACACGCCTACAACCTCGTCTGTCTCTACCACCACTTCTATGTTGGCTAGCTACACCAGCTGCAGGCGGTGATACATACTGCTCTGAGCAGGGGCCACAGCTGGAGTCTGGGACAAATCTTCAGAGGGATAAAAAGAAATCGAAGAAGCAGAAGATTACATGTTTATGAAAATCCCGCTTTAAGGTTTATAGACCAGGCACACAAACACATGCTGACACATTTGCAGGGCCACCGGAGAACAAAAGTGCATTCTCACAAACATATACAAGCTCTGTGTGTGTAGCTGCATCTAGTGCTGCTTTGGATTTGAAGTCTGGTTGACATCTGCACCACTAGAGGGCACTGTGCAACCAAAAGATGACACCTATTTTTTTTTTCTGACAGTTACCTACGGAAAATTACTAATAACCTTATTCTAGTGACGATACGTGCATATATAGCAAATAAAAACAAGAAAACACAAATATTTTTTAAATCTGTCTAAAAAGTTTTAGTTTTTTAAAAATGACTGAATTCCTGTTTTTTGCCTAAATTTGATCTGGCTTCTCTGATTCGTCATTTTGAACAAAGAGCTTGCACATACAAACATAAAAAATGATTTTGGTAATAACCAGTATTGTAATTTAGTCCTTTATATTGAGGGCTGGTCTTCATACAATGAAGCTAAACATGTGCTACAGAGGTGTTTCCATGGAGAACAGAGTAGAGGATAACATCTGGAGAGGTGAAAAGCACCAGCAACAATACCAGCAAGTATATAATTATAGCTAGCAATATAGTTATTGGTTAATTGAGGTTATTTAACAATTTTGACATTTTTCACCCTTTTATATCTGAAATGCTGCGTTGTTTATTTCAGAGCTGTTTTTTTTTAATATATGGAATACACAGATGCAGATGCTCAGCCTCAATTAAAATGACCTGTCTTCATTTATAGCCAGCTAAACTCTTCATGTGTTTAGTGAAGCAATTAAGTATTAAATGTAGGATATAACCTCAAACTAAGCTACAAAGAAAACGAAGCTGCGCCTTGTGTTTGTGGGGTAATTCAAACTCCTCATCATCAGCTGTCAGGTAATGAGTGATGTGTCGGCATGTATGATGGGATAGTCGACAGCCGCACATCACCTCAGCAGGAGAATAACAGTGATTGCTGAATGGCATCGAAAGGGTTTATCCCGATTCAGCTTGAGCTCAAAAAAATTAAAAAGGGGGGAAATGAAGATGAGTTATGTGTACAGGGTAAAGGTAAGGCATTTGTGAACAATGTAGATTCGCTTGTGAGGTGGAAGGGGGAGCCAGTGTTTGAGCCGCCTTGCTAAAAAAATGTCAGCAAGCAGACATGTTGTGGATGATAAAGGCTGTGTTCACAGTTACACGCGGTTCCTTTTAAACTGCAACATAAACACTGCTCTGCCTGTGGTTTTACTACTTGCACTTCAAAACAGATGCTCGTTTATTGCATTTTAATATGCTATTTTGTTTTCATCTTGTGTTGCCGTCCGCACATTTGCAAGAACGCTGGTTACATTTTCATTCCAAGTAATGGTTTCATTTAGTTTGTGTTCATCTGGACCACAGCCCAGTTTATTTACTTATTGTTTTATTGTTTTCTCATGTTGAAGAATTTCGTTTCTTAAATTTAAAAAAATAACAATAATTTTTCTGATTAAAATGCAGCACCTGGAGCCTCACAGTTTACCTTTTATTATCATTTTCTCGGTCAACCAGAGATCGTTGAATTTAGATTTACCAATCTAGCCGCAC